TCTGGCTAGGAGGGGGCCCTGACCAGGCAGACAGAGACAGCTCTTCTGTGCTCTGCCCTGGATGGGTGGGAGCTTTGGTGTCAACAGATCCAGGTTCAGAGTGGCAGCAGCCTCCTTTGAGTACCATTGGGAATAGACCATGTTCACCTTGTCACTTCGTATCCCAAGTGCCTGGAACAGGCCTGCCATATAAACAGCTGTGCAGAGAGTGAGGCGTTACCTACCCTGTCAGAGCCTCAGCTGTCTTGTCTGCGTTGGTGAGGCGAGAAGATCCCTTGCAGGAAAGTTGTGACAATGACGTGAAAGAGTGAGTGCTGCATGACTTACCCACTGAGGGCTCTTGGCTGATGATAGAATGGCTGGCAGCCCTACATCCCCATGTCTAGGGGCCAGTCAGCAGGTGGCTGAGGCTGGCAAGATGGTCACGGAGGCCAGGAATGTCTGTGAGTATTCCACATCAGAGCCAGGGGGCAGAAACTGTGTCAGGACACTGGGGTCAGCCCAGGGGTCTCCATGTCTTTGACAGAGGACACATCGTATCTTATCACACAGCTCTAGATATCAAGAGAATGTAGCATGTGCCTTCTGTTCCTGCCACAGGGAGTGTGTGTGATGTAGTGTTGACTGAAAGAGGCAGGAGACAAATGCCTGTGCACACTGGAGCCCAGCTTATCTTAAACATGGGTCTGCATGAGGATGGGCTCCAGAAGGATGCAAAGCCAAATGAAAATGGCGATGCATTTGAGCGGAGAAATGGTGCTTCATTTGTTTAAGAATTTTTACATGGGAAGAGTGCTGTTAACACTGCAGGGATTGCAATCAGTGTCACAAAACAATGTGTATGAATGGAAAACCAATTTGCTCTGTAAACTTCCATGCAGATCACAATTTAAAAGGGAAAAAAATGAATTTTTATCAGTGTCCTACCATTCTCTGTGGCTTCATTTATCACTTACCCAACACCAAACATGCAATCAAGATGTGTAATTATCACTGGTGATTGAAATGCAAAAGTTGAAACGAGGAATCACCGAATCACTGAATCAACTGGTTGTTAGAAAATAAGGACTTAGTGATAGAAGTGATGCTAGAGATCACATGATAGAATCTTGCAAAACCAATGACTTATTCATTGCAAATACCTTTTTTCAACATTATAAACAGCAGCTATACACATGGACTTCACCAGATGGAGTACACAGGAATCAGATTGACTACATCTGTGGCAAGAGGTGATGGAGAAGCTCAATATCTTCAGCCTAAACAAGGCCAGGAGCTGACTGTGAAATAGACCATCAACTTCTCATATACAAGTTCAAGTTGAAGCTGAAGACAATGAAAAGAAGTCCATGAAAGCCAAAATATGACCTTGATTATATCCCTCCTGAATTTAGAAGCCATCTAAAGAATAGACATGATGCATTGAACACCAGTGACCAAAAACCAGAAGAATTGTGGGATGACTTCAAGAACATCATCCATGAAGAAAACAAAAGGTCATTAAAAAGACAGGAAAGGAAGAAAAGACAAAAATGGATGTCAGAAGAGACTCTGAAACTTGCCCTTGAATGGAGAGTAGCTAAAACAAATGGAAGAAATGATAAAAGAGCTGAATGGAAGATTTTAAAGAGCAGCTCGAGAAGACAAAGTCAATTATTATAATGAAATATGCAAAGACCTGGAGTTAAAAAACCAAAAGGGGAGAACACACTCAGCATTTCACAAGTGGAAAGAACAGAGGAAAAAAATTAACCCTCGGATTGCAGTATTGGAAGATTCCATGGGCAACATGTTGAATGATGCAGGAAACATTAAAAGAAGATGGAAGGAATACACAGAGTCACTGTACCAAAAAGAATTGGTAGATGATCATCCATTTCAGGAGGTGGCATATGATCAACAACCAATGTTACTGAAGGAAGAAGTCGAAGCTGCACTGAGGAAATTGGTGAAAAACAAAACTCTGGGAATTGACGGAGTACCTGTTGAGGTGTTTCAACAAAAAGATGCTGCACTGGAGGCACTCACTCAGCTATGCTAAGAGACTTAGAAGACAGCTACCTGGCCAACTGACTGGAAGAGATCCATATTTGTACCCATTCCAAAGAAAGGTGATCACACAGAATATGGAAATTAGCGAACAGTATCATTGGTATCACATGCAAGTAAAATCTTACTGAAGATAATTCAAAAACAGTTGTAGCAGTATATTGACAGGTACCTTCCAGAAATGCAAGCTGGATTTAGAAGGGGATGTGGACCAAGGGATATCATAGCTGATGTCAGATGGATCCTGGCTGAAAGCAAAGAATACCAGAAAGATGTTCACTTGTGTTTTATTGACTATGCAAAGGCATTTGATTGTGTGGATCATAACAAATTGTGGAAAACATTGAGAAAAATGGGAATTCCAGAACACTTAATTGTACTCATGAGGAACCTGTACATAGACCAGGAAGCTGTTGTTCAAACAGAACAAGGAGATACTGCATGGCTTAAAATCAGGAGGAGAGTGTCTCAGGGTTGTATCCTTTCACCACACTTATTCAGTCTATGTGCTAAGCAAATAATCCATGAAGCTGCACTATATGCAGAAGAATGTGGCATCAGGATTGGAAAAAGGCTCATGAACAACCTGAGATACGCAGACGACACAACTTTGCTTTCTGAAAGTGAGGATGACTTGAAGCACTTACTGATGAAGATTAAAGACTACAGCCTACAGTATGGATTACACCTCAATATAAAGAAAACAAAAATCCTCACAACTGGACCATCACAATAGATGGAAAAAAGATTGAAGTTGTCAAAGACTTCATATTACTTGGTTCTACAGTCAATGCCAATGGAAGCAGCAGTCAAGACACCAAAAGACATACTGCATTGGGCAAATCTGTTGCAAAAGACCTCTTTCAAAGTGCTGAAGAACAAAGATATCTCCTTGAAGACTAAGGTGCGCCTAACCCTAGCCATGATATTTTCAGTTGCCTCATATGCATGGGAGAGATGGACAGTGAATAAGGAAGACCGAAGATGAGTTTATGCCTTTGTGTTATGGTGTTGGTGAGGAATGCCAAAAGTACTGTGGATGCTAAAAGAACTAACAAATCTGTGCTGGAAGAAGTGCAACTGAAATGCTCCTTGGGAGGAAGGATGGCCGGACTTTGTCTCACCTACTTTGGTCATGTTGCCAGAAGGGACCATTCCCTGGAAAAGCATGTCATGCTTGGTAAAGTGGAGGGTCAATGAAAGAGGGTGTGATGGTTCTGTTTGTGTGTCAACTTGGCTGGGCCTGGTTGAGTGGCTGGGCAGCTGGTGGTAGTATTCCCTATGATGAGACTGGCAATCAACTCCATGGTGGGATCTACCACAAGCAGTTGAGTAGCTACCTTTGGGTACGTGGTCTGCTTCCTATATATAAGGAGAAGCCTTTGGGAATGGTCTCTAGCCTGTGGCATGCTTGGGCCCTGCATGTAGCCGTGTTGTTGCTCAGCAGCCTGCTATGCTGTGCCGACCTTGGGACTTACAATGAACTTAAGTTAATGGCCTGCCATGTGGTTTGGTAACATTGGGACTATGCCTTTTTACTTGTCAACCTTGGGGCTTCTCAGCCTCAGCAGCTAGCAGCTGTCTGAGTGAAGAAATGCCTTTGGCTCCAGTGGGCCGGGAGCAGGAGGCGGAGCTGGACCCCAAGGTTGAGGGGCCTTCCTCCAGCCCCTAGAGCCTGGCACTTTGCACTTGGCCTTAAAGCCTCCAAATTGTAAGAATAAAATCCTGTTTGTTAAGGCCATCCTGTTTGTGGTGTATTTCTTGTCAGAGCGGCACTAGGGAACCAGAACAGAGGCGAAGCCCTCAACAAGATGAAAAGACATGATGGCTGCGGCATTGGGCTCGCGTATGGTGGGGATCATGAGGCTGGCACAGGACCAGGCAGTGTTTTGTTGTGTTGTACATAAGGTCGCTATGAGTTGGAGACAATGCGATGGCACATAACAACAACAGTAATGGTGGGCGTCTCTCACAGGAGATAGCACACAGAAGGCTGCCACCCCAGAACTTCCTACCACCGATCAAGTCCCCAGTCAATGATTGCTGGCCCTGGCCTTGACAAACCTCGAAATCTTGTCACTGAGTCCTGGTCTGTGACTCTTACCCTAAAAACCACTGCCACATGAAAATGTGGTGCATTGTTGAGTGCACAAATGCCACAGCATCACATTCTTTAAAATGGTTAATTTTATGTTATGTGAATTTCACCACAATTGAAAAAAAAGCATCACCATCACTTACTGAACACTGATGTGCCAGTGCTGTGCTTGATGCCTTGTTCTGATGATCAGCGGTTCTGCCACGTGGGTCCGTAGCGGTCCAGTTGATGGACAGAAACTGACTCAAGAAGACAAGGTGAAGCCAGGGCATTTGGTAACGGAGTCCAGATTTCAATGGCACCATGTCCTTCCCTTCACAGGTGGAAGAAGATTGTCTCTGGGAGAGTGTGGAAGAAGCTGGGTGCAGCATTGCCTTTAGAAATGGGTTTGGGGGAAAAGGGAGGAAGCTGGATGTACTTCTGGTTATCCACCACTTGGATTGGGGGAGAAGGGAGGAAGCTAAGTACAATCCCCGTTATCCACCACATTGGCACTTTTCACGTTTTGAACCATGCACATGGTTACCAATTCAGAAGACAACAAAAAGCAAAGAAAGAACATTTTGTTTATAAAAAACCAAACACTGTCACTATATTGTTTTGTCCAAAATAAGCACTTTGAGGCCAAGTCCACCAGATCCCCACCCTGGCTCATCCACTTGGTAGACCGACTCTGAACTATGGTTCCTCATCTGTCAAGGGACAGTGATGCTACCCACATGGTACATGGCCTATCTCCTGTTGTTTTCCTTCTTCTCCCATCTCTTCCCACCCTGTACCCCACACCCCACTGTTTGAATTGTCTGTCCGGGACCTCCGTGCACCCATGTGACTTCAGGTTTCTTTCCCTCAGAGAAAGCTACAGATGGCTCCTTGCAGAGCGAAGACTGGGCCCTCAACATGGAGATCTGTGACATCGTCAACGAGACAGAGGAAGGGTAAGGGGGTGCTCGCAGAGAGGTGGGAATACCGGGGGTGGCCAGTGGTGCAGCACAGCCAGCCTCAGTGCCACACCCTACATTCAGAGGGCCTCCTCCAGCACCACCACTGCTGTGGCCACACAGTGAGACCCTGGGCTTTTGGCTGGGTCTTGGAAGGGGCAGCAGAGGTCATGGTCCCGGGTCTCAATCTAACAGTGCAGCCCAGTCTCCTGGCAGCTTTGTAAAGACAATTCCTCAACCCCACCTCAGGCTGAGTTTCTCAGGGTGGGGCCAGGAATGAGACATTTTAAATACTGAGAATCATAATCAAGTCCAGCCCTCATGGATGGATGTGAGACCCCAAAATATCAAGTTCAAAGTCACGCCAGGTGACAAACCACAGCCTCTCTGAGCAGCAGCCCAGCCGAGTGAGTGTGACCACCCAGCCTTGCGCACAGCATCTTCTGAGGACAAGGGGCAGCTTCCCGGTGCTGTTCTGTACTGCCTGTGCTGCGGTGTGTGTGAGGGACCCCCAGCTCTTCTCTGTGAGCTGAGAACAGACTTTCACTTCCTTCAGATGGGAATCCAGCGGGGGCGTGGGGCCAGTAGGGGGGTAGTGAAAGTGAAGAGGGAGCAGTTGGTGAGCATTTCCGCAATGCAGGTCACTGGTCTCCCTCCTCAGTGCAGAGGAGCCCGGACATGAGTCCAAGGCTGGGGCCTGGCGTCTGACCTCTGACTAGCCAGCACTGTGTGACCTCGGACAAGTCACACTACCTCTCTTGGTCTTTGTCCTCAAAGACAAAGCTCTGTTAGATGCTTAAAGCAGTAAAACCAAGCCCCTGAGGGAATGGCCCGGGGAAGGCTGGGCGGGTTCTGTGGACTGGTCCTTCAGGAAATGTGGCCAGCTGAGGCCTCTGTTCTGGGAAGTGAGGATCAACAGTGGAGCAGGATTTCATTTCTCTCTCCGTTTTCGCTGGATAATCCTGTTGTCCTGAAAGTGTTCAGCCAGGTAGGGCTTTGTGTGGAGAGGGGCAAGCTGGAAGCAGGCAGAAGACGGAGATGCTCACCTCAGCCTGGTGGGGGGCTGTGGGGGGCTGAGTCACAAAGAGTCCAGGCCCAGTCAGGAGGTCACATGGCTGCGGGGGAAACCTCCAGTCTCTTCCTCAGCCAGGCTCTGTGGGCTTGCCCGGGGATTAGGGAGGGGACACTCACACCTGCATCTGGAGTCATAAGAGTAGAGGAGGGAATGAGAGTGGTGGGGAGAGGGTGGGGCCACCAAACGGAGGCAGAAAACCCATCAAGCCTCTGGAAAGGCCTGGCTGCTTCATGAACACAGTTGTTGAAAGCCACTGCTGTATGCTTGAAGGCAGCAAGACCATCTCCCTTGTAAATGTGGAAAGATCACTTGTTGCTATTTACCTGAGCACCTGCTCTGTTCCCGGCATGGCACAAGATATGAGAACGCAGCAGTGAGCAAAAGCTTGTGACTTGACTGAATTTCTCATCTAAACTTTCAAGTCTCTTTACTTGCCACTCTCCCCTGTTGGGTTGTGGCCGTACACGTTCTGTTGTTAGTACGGTACCAACATTTAGTACATCTGCAGAAATGGCAAAACTTCTGTTTCCCAATACGGGGCACTTTTCTCTAGGCCACCCCACAAGAAGTGGACACACAGGTCGCTTTAGAGAGCTGCAGTGGCCCACAGACCAGTGGCCAAGTCTGCAACAGAAGCCAGCCTCACTGCAGAAGGAGCCTGGGAAAGGCAAGGAGTTGCCTGGGCACCTGATGGATGTGTCCTCACACTGGGGCTGGTCGTCATAGCACCTTGGCCACCTCATCTCCATACATGGACCTAACAGGTCTCCACTGCTCCACTTCCCGTTCAGGATTGGTCCCCAAGCCCTCTTCCTACCAGCACTCCTGTTGGAGGACCGGGGTCAAGGTTCCTGACTCTCCTGACTTAGCTCTTGAGGGGTCAGCACTGACTGACAGGCAGACAGATACCAGGGGAATGATGATCATGCTCCTGCAGCACTGGGCTCTGGCAGGCGACCTTTCAGAAGAGGGCATGGTCCCTGACCTATAGCAGTCCGCTGCTCCACCCAGAGCGGGCCACCTGGTCAGTGTCGTGTGGCAGTACATCCAGGGGAAACTTAAGGGGCTAGGGGAGCATCGTGGAGGTGGGTTTCAGCTGGGCCTCCACCAGCTAGACAGGAGGCTGGGGGCCTTCAGGGTACTGGGTAAAGGCTATCACCTGAGCAAAGGCTTCTAGGGCAGAGTGTTAATCAATTAAGGTACTCTGGTGGTGTAGTGGATAAGGCATTTGGCTGCTAACCAGAAGGCAAGTGGTTCAAAGCCACCAGCTGCTCTGCAGAAGCAAGATGGGGCAATCTACTTCTGTAAAGATTTATAGCCTTGGAAACCAATGGGGGTAGCTATGAGTCAGAATCAACTTGATGGCAGTGAGTTTGGGTTTTTTGATTTACTCATTGACTACACCACAACAGGGTTGATGGGGGACGGTGGCAGTGGAGTATGGACAGGACGAGGCAGGCCTGCTGCAGTCACCAGGCTTTTCTTGACTCTCCACTGCACTTCCTGTGTCTCCTCCATCCCTCCCAGACCCTTAGGCCTCTTCAGCTCCTTCCTCACTCACTGGGCGGGTGGCATTCTAGTTCCTCCCAGCACCAAGCTCCTGCCTCCAACCCTGAACTGCTGTTCAACCCCACCCCCCACCCCCAGCTGGCACCTTTTCATACTTCAGGGCTCAGTTGAAGGGCTTCCCTAACCCCAACACCAGCCCTTCTCATTCCAGAACCCTGATTATTTCCTTCTGTTATTTGAGTTTCCTCTAGAAGGTATGATCCTTGGGGACAAGGCTGTGTGGGTCTTGGTCACCACTATGTCCCCGGCACCTAGTGAAGTGTCTGGCACTTGCTGTTGTTAGTTGCTATAGAGTTGGCACCAACTTATGGCGAGGCTGTGTGTAACAGAGCAAAACACTACCCAAACCTGGCCAGCCTCATGGTCATTGGCACATGATGGGTCCTTAATAAGAATTGAATGGAGCATGGTCAGGTAGAAAAACTATATAGAGGAACCGGCCAAGACGAGGCCCCAGAGCTGATCCCTACAGATTATTGGTTCTCAAATTTCACAGTGCATAAGAAGCCCCAGAAGGAACTCTGGTGGTAGTGGTTAAGGCACTTGACCGCTAACCAAAAAGTCAGTGGTTCGAACCACCAGCCACCCCATGGAAGAAAGATGAGATAGTCTGCTTCTATAAAGATTTACAGCCTTAGAAACCCAATGGGGGTCGCTGTGCGTCAGAGTTGACTCAGTGGCAGTAAGAAGAAGCCCCAGAGGACAGGGTAAGGTGCACATTCTCCCTCGGAGAGTTTGGTGCCAGTGGTCTAGAATGGGACTCCTGGAATCTACATTTTTAATAAATACACCTCCCCCACTGAGGAGGGATTCCACTGTAGCTGGCCCAGTGACCACACATTGAAAGTCACTGCTGAGTTGTCATGATCTCCTGAGGGATTGTGGGAGGGCAAGGAGATTTTGATGTGCTTCAGACCTGAAAACACAAAACAGAGGTGGGGGCACAGAGAAGCTGGGTAGAGAAAGCCCTTCCCACTTTCCAGAGCCACTGGTTTTAGGCAGCTTCCTCCTGTATTGAATAAGGAAACATCATACCTAAACCAGCTGCCTTTTGTCCTTCTTCTCAGTCCCAAAGATGCCTTCCGGGCACTGAAGAAGAGAATCGTGGGCAATAAGAACTTCCACGAGGTGATGCTAGCTCTCACGGTGAGTGCCCCATCCATCCACCTGGCCCATGACAGGACCATGGTCTGCGAGGATGGCCTCCCCTCAAGCCCAATGGCACTCCAGGCTACCCTTGGCTCCTCATCCAAAGGCTGGGAAGAAAAGGCCCATGGGTAAAGCACCATCTTGTCTGCACTTCTGGCAGCCTTGGAATGGCAAGAGAGGCCTTCTGGAAAGCTTCTCCCCAACCCACTGGCATGGGAAGCAGACACACTGAAGCCCCACATCCCTCCAGGACCACTGGCATGGAGAACCTAGACTAGAGGACCCTTGATGGCTTAGAGGCTGGTCACCTGGGCATTGGTGGGGCAGAAGCCTGGCAGGCTGCGTCAGGTTCTACTTGGCACTCTGATGCATTGAACAGAATGAGCATAAAACAACCACTGGGGCTGAAATGAGGACAGACCTTACTCCAGCACTACATTGCTCCACATGCAGGATGGGCCAGGAGGGGTTTGCTGGTGGTGGAGAGTAGGGAGAGGACACTGTCGTAGCAGCATTCACATGTCAGTGACCCAGGTTAAGCTGAAAAGCAGAGGCAGCCCCTGCAGGGGAGTAGGCAGGGAAGTTTGATCCCATTTCCATGGGTACAGAGTTACCACCTGATTGAAAGCTTACATTCTTACTGATTTCTACTTCGAGGGCCACCTCTCCTCTAGACTGTGTTCACCTTGGGGACACGATCGGGACAGAATCCTGTGGGCACTGACCCTGGTCAGTGAGTGGCCTCCCACTAGCACCCTGCCCTCTGCCCTCATGGCCTGCCTTCCAGCACACAAGCCCCCAATCCGTGTGTTTCCCCCAATTCTCCATAGGCCAAGGTCTCTCTTAGGAAGCCCCATACCTCTGCTCAGCCTCCTCCCTGGAATGTGGGGAAAGCTGCAAGGATCGGGTTCCTGAAGTGTAAGGGTGACCTGGGTGTCTCCCCTTCTCTGGCCGGGGTACTCACTGGCACCCCATGGCCCTCCAGGTCTTGGAAACCTGTGTTAAGAACTGTGGGCACCGCTTCCACGTGCTGGTGGCCAGCCAGGACTTCGTGGAAGGAGTGCTGGTGAGGACCATCCTGCCTAAGAACAACCCACCCACCATCGTGCACGACAAAGTGCTCCACCTCATCCAGGTGAGTGCCAGGCCAGGGCAGGGGGGTGGCTTGGGAGAGGGGCCGTCAGTGGGGGGCCTCCTTCCCAGTGGAGAGCTCTAGGTGTCTGGGCCAAGGAGAAAGGTGCCCCCGTTACTGTTCTTTTTTCAGTTTGTTTCAGACTCCATTTCTCGTGGATGCCTCATAGTCTGTGGTTGTCTCCTGATTGAACATTCTGTGCATGGGGGGAGGCTTGTCTACTGTGTGTTGCTATGGAGGGGTCAGTTGTTTGGGTGAATGCAATCAAAGGGCCAGCGAGTGAAGGAAAGAACCAGCAAGTGACAGGACAGGTGGGCCCTTGGGGGAGAAAGTGAGCAGTGGTCACTGGCATGTCCCCTTGTCCCCCTCTCAGTCCTGGGCTGACGCGTTCCGCAGCTCGCCCGATTTGACAGGTGTCGTCACCGTCTACGAGGACCTCCGGAGGAAGGGCCTGGAGTTCCCCATGACTGACCTGGACATGCTGTCACCCATCCACACGCCCCAGAGGGTAAGGAGAGGCATCACCCCATGGGCCCTTTGGCCATCCCCCCTCCTCACAACTTCCGTAACGGTGGGAAGGGAAAGCAGGGGTTATCACCAGCAGCTACTTCCTGTTGGCCCCTGACTCCCTGGGGCCCTTATCTTTTCCAGAAGTCCTTGCTGATCCTGTTTTTTGCCCTCTAGACTGTGTTCAACTCGGAAACACCTTCAGGACAGGATTCTGTGGGTACTGATGCCAGTCAGAGAGTGGACTATCACCAGCACACCACCCCTCTGCCCACCCCGGCTGCACCGCTCAGTGACACACCCATAGCACCAACCCCTGACCAGGTAAACAGCAGGTCAAGATGGGGCCTGGACCCCCTTCTCCATACACCTCAGGAAAGGACCACCTGTCAGTAAGGAAATTAGTATCAGTTGAGTTTCCGCTTCGTCTTCAGACCAGCCCCACAGGGTACGAGTTATTCTTCCGTTTTGGAGAGGAGAAAACTGAGGCTCAGAGAGATGTGTTAACTTGCCCAGAATCACTCAGCTCATCAGAGACAGCTGGGATTCAAGCCCAAGTCTTTCTAACTCTAAGCAGGCTCTGTCCTGTACTTTGGCAGTTTTTCCCACTGTTCTCTGTGGGGCCCTCAGAGAGTACCATGGAGAGGAATTGCCCAGCAGGCGGCCCCTTCAACCACAGCAGATCGACTTTGTGGGCCTCACTTCTGTGATCATAAAAGACTTCATTTCAACAGAGGCTCTAGCTGAAACAGTTTTAAAACATCTTCACAAAAAATGAAAACCTTTGCATTGCTGTTACTTCGTACAGACCTCAGAAAGAAGGTCTGAGGTTTACTCTCTATAAGATTCTAAAGGTCAGGCACTGGGGACTGGTTTTCTCAGAGCCCCTTGACTAGCTTTTTACCCACCTCGGACTCAGTGGCACACTGACTTGTTCATTCCCTGTGCCTCTGTCTTCCTCTGGAAGCTGAGTTCAGGCCATGAGCTGTTGGGAAAGTACTGAAGCTGCTTGTTGGGCCTTTCCCAGCCAGTGTTAGCTGGCTGCTCAGTCATTTTAGACTTGGCTATTGGGATGCCAGTTGAGGCTTGTGTACTATGGGGATGCGCACTTTTGAGGTATTTTACAAACTTCAGCCACATCACATCAGTTGAGTGTAAATACTTAGCTCCTAAGAGTGATGGTGAGAAGCACACAGGTGTATGATGGAAAAAGTGAAACTTAACTTTCCAAAGATGAGTCATCACCAGTCAGGTGTGTGGTATTATTTGGCCTTAGGAACAAGTAAACTTACCAGCAGCCTTTCACACCCTAACCTATTTGAAGAGAAATTTCTGTACTTCAATATCTCATAGCAAGTTATGAAGTCAGCAACCCCCCATGGTTATACATATTTCTGGAAAAGTTTTGCTAACTGGATAAAATCATTAAAGATGCATTTTTAAAATGCTAAAAACCACCCTGTGGTCCAAAAATTATCTAACCAGGTTGTAATTGTAATGGATTTGCCTAAAGTCTGCTTGTGTGTGGATTAGGGTTCTGCTTGCTCCTGGGACAAGATTGTTAGTGAACAAAACTGAGTAGTTCTTGTGTCGTTTCAGCGCCCCCTTCTGTCTCTGGGGACATGTTAGGACATGCAGGCATGCACTGATGCAGCTTCTGCACTCCTTTGTATTTAAGTCTCATCTGACTCGGATGCATTAGGTTGTGTTTGGTACTTTTTCATTACATTTCATTTTATTCACTCATTCCAAGAGTGTTCCATAAATGGGCCAAACATACCACACATTTTGTAGGTTTTGGAAGATGTCATTGAACCCCAGTGGACATGCTACATGTCTCTCCGTTCTCCTTTCCTTATCTGTGAAAGCTACTAAACCAAACCTACTGCCTTTGAGTCAGTTCCAACTGATAGCAAGCCTGTAGGACAGAGTAGAACTGCCCTATCGGGATTCCAAGACTATACATCTTTATGAAAGCAGACTGCCTCATCTTCCTCCCACAGAGCAGCTGGTGGGCTTGAACCACCAACATTTTGGTTAACAGCCAAATGCTTTAACCACTGCACCACTAGACCTCCTTCATAAGACAATAGTAAAGGATAAACTAGAGATGTAAGTTAAATGCTTGCACAAAGTAGGTGGTCAATAAGTGGTAGCTGTTATCATAGCCATCATCAGTTTGTATAATGGTACCCATATTCTGAAATCAACTATAACTTGGTCACACAATTTAGCTTGTGCCAACGTTTTCCAAAATGTGTTCTACTTAATATTAGACCCATGAGATAATCCATGATGAAAGGGTTCTGCAGTCAAATAAATTTTGGCAAGGCTCGTGTTGATCTCCTGGAAGTTAACAGTGTATGCAGTGTATTAGCGTATTAACTGCCCCAGAGTCCTACGGCATAAGACACATAAGCCAGTGGCCTCTCACAACCTAACCTATTTAAAGTAACTGTGTAACATTACTTACAATGTCTTCCCAAGCATGAGACCTTGGAAAGCCTGTGAACACCCCATGGACCAAGTGTTCCATGGGGAGGATGACCCTCAATCAAAGTTTCATACTCAGGGTGGACCCTGGAACACTAAAGCAGGCCGGGAACAAGACACAATCCTAGTTAATAGGGGGAAGAGTACAAGATCTCAGTTATCCTAGGAGAAGAGGAGGGAGGGCAGGATCCCCATTATCCTAGGAGGAGAGAGAGCGTGGGATCTTAGTTACTCTAGGAAGAGAGAGAACAAGATCCCTGTGAACCTAGGAGGAAAGAGAGGGTAAGATCCCTGCTACTCTAGGAGGAGGGCTGGGGCAAGGTCCCAGTTATCCTAGGTGGAGGAGAGGGTATCCTGCAGAAATTGTATCCCCTGAAAATATGTGTCAACTTGGCCAGGCCATGGTCCCCAGTACTCTGTGGTTGTCCTCCATTTTGTGATGTGGGGTTAATTATCCTCCTTTCTGTGCTGTGTTGTAAATCCTAACCTCTTTGTGTTAATGAGGTAGGATTAGTGTGGGGTGTGTCTGAGAAAAGGACGTTATAAGAGAATGTGACTCAAGTCATATCCTTACTCCAGTCCCACCCTTACTCAAGTCACACCTTTGCTTGAGTTACACCTTTTATCTTAGAAAAAATGAGAGAGAAATGAGCAGAGAGGTGAGGGACCTCACTGCTACCAAGACAGAATAGCCAGGAATGGAGCAAGTCCTTTGAAACCCTGCACTGAGAACTTCCTAAACTCGGAGAAGATTGATGCCAAGATACATGGAAATCTCTAAGAAAGCAGAACCTGAAGAGACAAGATCTTCCTCCAGAGCCAAGACAGAAAGAAAGCCTTCACCTAGACCCAGCACTCTGAATTCAGACATCTAGCCTCCTAAATTGTGAGAAAGTCAATTTGTTTGGTAAAGCGATCTGTGGTAGTTCGCTTTGTGTGTCAACCTGGCTGGGCCTGGTTGAGTGGCTGGGCAGCTGGTGGTAGTTAATCCCCATGAAGAGACTGGCAATCAACTCCATGGTGGGATCTACCACAAGCAGCTGGGTAGCTGCCTTTGGGTATGTGGTCTGCTTCCTGTATGTAAGGTGAAGCCTTTGGGAATGGTCTCTAGCCTATGGCACGCTTGGACCCTGC